ATGATACTTTAAGACTTAGTGTCAGTTATTTTTCAGCTCTCCTTGATCACACTAATTCTTTTTTTGAAGTAACAACACAAATAGAAAATAAGCTTCTTTAGGGTACAAACCTTCTGCTTCTTACAGTAATTTAACAGCGAATTAGTATACGAGTAGTAAGCTGTTGAGTATTAGTAAAACGTTATAAACTTTTTACAAGTTATTAAAATCTGAAGTATTATTGCAGAAAACTAATGAAATATTTAATCAGGAATATCGCTATTAGTGATTAAGTTTGTGCAGTATTTCTGCTTGTGTGGTGACGAATGAAGAATGTCACCATCCCTGTTCATCCCGTGGGTGTCGTAAGAGCCGGCTAATATTGCAAAGAGAAGGTAAACTTGATACAAACCCTATACCAACCCGTCTGGCCAGCGTGGTATAGTAGGCCAAAAAATATTAAAAATATATAATTGTTATTATTATTTGTGCAGTAAATAATATTCATTATTACATCAAGCTATTCAAATTCATGTCGAATATATCGTATGATTTTGCCAGAACATCAACATAAAACTATACCTTGTCTTTATTGCATAGGAAAAAGAAAACATTCGTTGGTACAAGGAAAAGTTGTCAAGCCAACTCTGCTTAACAATCTCAATTTGTCGGTTACTACAGTTTCAGTAACTTCAGTTCAGTGGTCATAATCGAACTAACTCCTGGGGAGCTGGCTTTATTTTTACTTAATTGTCGACTTGTGTGTTATTATGTGGTATTTTGTTTTTGTATAACATGAACTTATATTGGTGGCTGTAAAAAAGGGTTATCGTGGGATTTGACCAGCAATATAAAAACAGGTGTATATTTTTGTGTAGGCACAAGTATGGTATTGATGGTTTTATGTGGGCGTAAATATTTGAAATGACATTTAGTTTGTATGGTTAGAAAGCAAACGAGCAGACGGGGATCCAGATCAGGTCAACTCAAGAATTACAAGTGCAGATTTACCTCCTAGGAATGAATGCCATGTCGCGGGGGACTTTACAAACATACATTATACGGATACAAAGGACCCAGACTGAGAACAACAATTTGTGGATCACACAAAGTGTTGTTCCATGTGGGGATCGAACCCACAACACCCAGCGCAGTAGGAAGCGGCGAGGTGACCGCTAAGACCACTACGCTATTCTTGCAGTGAATGAAGAGTAAATACAGAAAAAACATTCTAAAATTCTGTAATAAAATAGTTTACTTTTGGTTTATTATTCTTCCGAAATTAAGGGCTACTGCCTTCCACAAACGAACGCTCAATATAAAGTAGAATTGAAGGGTTTTTTTACTAAGTTACTCAACCTTTTTTTATGTGGTTATGGATAGCAAAAGTAAAGAGTAAAGGATCATTTATCTCTATATTTGTGAAATATAATATATAATATAATATATTCTACCACATACACACAACGCCATCTAGTCCCAAACTAAGCAGAGCTTGTACTATGGGTACTAGACAACTGATATAAATACATATATACTTTTTTTTTTGCAAATACATACATATTATACATAGAAACACCCAGACCAAATCAAACATCAAATGTTCATGCACACAAATGTTTGACTTGAGCGGGAATCGAACCCGCGACCTTTGGAATAGCAGTCCGTTACACAAACCACTACGCCATCCAGTCGTCAAATAATGTTGATATTCAATTCACACTCACTTTATCAAAGTCAAACTGTAAAATATTCGTATATCTGTACTGTACTGTGATAGTGCTGATAGATAGCACTGTGATAGCTGGTCAATGAAAAAGGAAAATCAAAATTTCATCACAATTGAAACAGTGTTATAGGGGTGATATTATTTGTTTGCACCAGGGACTTCCTTTCTAGGGTATACCTGGTTCCCCGGCTATTAGTACCCGAGACGGCGTGCGGTTTTAGTCGGTTCGAGTCCGACATGCCACCGAAAGGTAGTGAAAAAAAAAAAAAAAAGGGGTGATATTATTATTTTACACAAAAGCTATGACGCAGACCTTCATGACCTTTCTTCATTGCCACAACACGTCGTGGCCGTATAACATGACAGACACGACACAAATTTTGCTCTGTGGTCCTTTTGTGATTGCCACAACTTGTCCCGACCGTGACTGTTTTTATAAAAACCATGACACGTTTGCGACAACGCTCGTTTTTTTTCGCCCGGTAAGCGTTTTCGATCTCTAAGCGTAACCAATACAAAAAGAATATATTAGGTCCTTACATACGAAATTAGCGTTTTGTCGTACTGACCACTTTGATCTAAAATATCTTCTCTTTGGTTAAGAACTCCAAATTAAAATTTATAATTTCATTTAGCTGGTACATTTGAGTTTTGAAAACAGTCACTTATTTTTTTTTTCCTCATAATTTTTTTCTTTGGCGTCGCTTATTACCGCACAATGGAAAACATGAAATATCGGTATATTAACGAGTACTAGTTCTACCGTAGTGCTGCAGAAACAGCTGGAAGGATTAATGATCTGTACGGCACTGGTGTCGCAAAATAAAGCAAGCTACGTTTTTTGTTTCAACGTTTTGGTTCTGGAAATTTCGACCTTCAGAACCAACCTCGTGGACGGCCGGAGGCCAAAGTGGAAAATAAAGAATTGCTATTGTGGAAGCGGATCCATCACAAAGCACTTCAGAGATAGCTGCAGGCTTCGGGGTAAGTGATAAAACTGTATTAATTTACTTGAAGCAAATCGGGCAAGTAAAAAAACTTGGACGATGGGTACCTCATGAATTGAGTGAATCGAACTTGCAAACACGCGTCGACTTCTGTGTTATTTTGCGCCACCGACACAATAATGAAGGGATTTTAAATCGAATCATTACTTGTGATGAAAAGTGGATACTGTACGATAACCGGCAGCGCTCGTCGCAATGTCTGAACCCTGGAGACCCACCCAAATCTTGCCCTAAACGAAAATTGACTCAAAAAAAGTTACTTGTGAGTGTTTGGTAGACTAGTGTCATTGTCGTTCACTACAGCTTTCTAAAATCTGGCCAAACGATTACGTAAGATATCTATTGTCAGCAACTACAAACCAGCTGGAAGGAAGAACTAGCTGCTAAACATCCGAGATTGGTCAATCGCTCTAGGCCACTGTTGCTTCACGACAACGCAAGACCACACCCTGCACAACAAACAACCACTAAATTATATGAGCTACAATTGGAATGTAGAACTTGCTCCTACAAATTACCATTTTTTGGTCAACTTCTTACAAGGAAAAAAAAACAACTCCGATGCAGCAGTCCAAACCGCCTTCAAAGAGTTTGTTGATTCTCGCCCCCATGGTTTTTTTAGTAAAAGGATCAATGAACTACCTATGAGATGGCAAAAGTGCATAGATAACAACGGTGCATACTTTGATTAATTAAATACATTTTACAAAAAAATATTGATTTATATTCCACCCGTACAAAACGCCAATTTCATATCTAAGGACCTAAGACATAATAATTATATAAAGCCTATAATCATCTTAAAAACACATCACATCACATCAACAGCCTATAATAGTCTACTGCTGGACATAGGCCTCTCCTTAAAATGAAGGTTTTGGCCCACTAAAATAGTAGATAGTAATAGATAGTAATTCTTAAATATGGAAATCAATGAAGTCAAGTCCAATAATAATAATATATTCACACACGGCCATCTGATCCATGCCATCGTAACCAGACAGCTGATAAACATATACGTACTTATATATTTCTAAATACACACACATTATTGATAAAGTACACCCAGACACAACAAATCAATATATCAAGCCAAGTAGTTATTTTATAAATGTTTAATGATTGAACTTACACGTCATGACATCAACAGCATTTCATAGTCCACTGTTGGCTATAGGCCTTAGAAAGGAGGGTTGCCCTACTATACCACGCTGGCCTTTTAGGAACTTTTATTCTTTGTAATTTCTCTAATTCTTTCCGAGTATCACAAAACGTTGTGTGCGAGTATCAAATGACCTTAATTTGTACTGAAAATTGTAGTTTTACAGCTACAAATAGCACGTTAAGCACAAAGTTCAAAGTTTTCAAGAACGCATACGTATAATATGATACATATACAGGTTGTGTTATTTAAATTATCCATCCTAATAATTTAATTACAAAATTAAATATTGTTTCTAACGTCATATATTGTCGTATTGTTGTGTTTTGATACATATCAATATACTCGTATTTGATTTTATCACATATGTTTGAATAATATATTGATATTATTGCTATAACTGGTTATAATTATTCATTTTTATTCATACTCGCATTATCATTTGTACCTTTGAAACTTTTTCTGTGCGAAAATCGCCTAACCGGTGGTTATGTCAGACTCGTACTGGTCAAAAACCGCACGCCGCGCTCTCTTTTTCAGTACAATACTCATTGAATAAATATTATACCCACTTCAATCAAACAAGAATTTGTACATGTAACCTATTTAATTTGTTAATTAAACGAAATTTTAAGTAAGCAAGAATATTCATAATAACTTAGAAATAACAAATTCGATCGAAGGATCTTACTTCATGCAATGGAACAAAGCTGTTTGTACAATGTAAGAAATAATCATTGTTTAAAAAAGCGACTACGTCATTTATAGTATCAGTGTGTCTATAACCGGTAGGTACTAAATAGTTTATAGTTAAATAGAAGTTACCTTTTATTTCGCTGTAGGTTTGAAAGTAATACTGCACAAACCCTGACATTGCTACGTTCTCAAGCAAATATCAAGAAAAAAATAAACGAAAAGACAGAGCATTGATACAGTTATTCGGACATATTTTTGTTTACAAAGATCAAATCTATCACCCTTTAGTAGACAGTTCCATAAAATATTCATAAAACGATGGATAGGACAACATTTCTAAAATCATTTATGTGAATGGCATTAAAAACAAGGTGGCGGTTCAGTACTAAGTGACATTTGCTTGCGAGGTGGTACTGTGTCGGTGAATATGGATAATGAAATACTCAGTCAAGAACACCAAGGTATATATTTATCATAGGTATTGTGTATATATAATGTGTTGGTATAAGTATATTCTACAAACTTATATTTAGAACTAAAATTGTATAGTACTAGTTGAAGTACGAGTACTTTGGATAGAAATAGAAATAAAAGCTCACAAAAACAAAAGTGTCTTAAACCACTTAATAGAAATACGGTACCTTGCGTCACTCTGTACAAGCAGTTTTTGGCATTATAAAATAAAACCAAAAAATACAGCTCAAACACAACAGAAGCATTGATTCTCTAAACCCTTCTGCAGTACACATTAAAAAATTATTCCTTTTCAAAAACATATATTTTGGTGATTTCTCTCTCTAGTTTTCTATCTCCTTGTACAGAATGCTAAATAATTGATTTCTTCAAATCTGTTTTTTTGTCAGCGTTCAAGTCCTAAAAACTAAATATAGATGACATGGTTATAGATAAACTGTCAATGTAAATGTTGAATGTAAGTTTTTAATGTAAACAACTGATGGCAATTCTGAATAAAAAAAAAACTCTTGCAGGTGATACAAATACTTTAGAAGTTGTTTATTTAAGATTGCAACAAGAGATACCTGAGTAAGATCACAATTCATCAAAATCATTAAATTAACTAAAATATATAAATATTGATATTTTCATTTCCTTTATTTCAATTTTTAGAGGTTCTTATTTAAAAACTGATTTTAAAAGTTGGATAGAAGATAAGAAAAGAGTTGACATAAATATTGAAAGCAGTTTAGATGAAAATGAAGAGTATACAATCAATGGTAACAATGACAAAGAAAGTACTCAGTTCATCACCTTTCAAAGAGCAATGAAAGTAATACTTACATATGGACAGTGTGTGGGTTTGAACCCAGTCACAGCAATATTGAATCACGATATAACAAAAATAAGGTATAGCATATGAATTCATGTTTCTGAATATGGTTATTGCATGAAAATGCAAATATATTACTTGTATAAGCTACGAAACATAATGTGTTTTTGATAACACTGGCTAGTCTTTACATAAAAATAAAACTGTTTATGTAACAGCAACGGAATCTTAAGTACGATGTTTTAAGGGTTCAGTACATCGAAATGAAAAAAGGAACTCCTATCGGATCACTCGCCAACCTGTCTGTCAGACTCTTACTGAAAATTCGACACAAATCTTCAGAACCGATTACCTAAACACAAACTTTGGTAAAAAACAGTTGCAACCTGTACCGAGTGATATCAAAAAAACTTTTTGTAAGGATCTAAAATTTCGGTATCATTTTACATAATTTTCATGTTATTTTAAATAATAATATTATTTTGAAGGTATCCATGAAAATACTGTAAAATAAGTAGATTCTCTAAATGTTTTATTGTGAAATACAGATTTTTACCTACTTATAGACAAAAATATACGAATAAGTAGGTATATTAAGTTGATTACATCGATAAATTCCTTAATACTATGCTCACAATATATGCACTTGAAAGGTATGGGAGAATATCCTCTTCAACTTTCGGAATCCTCATGACTTAATTTTTACCTTGGATTGGGTAACACGTTGAATATTACAGAAGCGACGACTTTGAAATACAATTTAATGTGTTTGTCAACCACTTCTGCACCGCAAGTTGTTTGGAAATACACTGACTGTTTGTGCTTTTGCAACTTTATTTGTATAATATATTGGCAAATAAAACAATAATTTATGCTTTGTTTTATTACAGATTCAAACTGTACTCATGGAGATTTTTATATACGGCACTAATAGCGATTTTCCAAACACTTGCAGCAAGCGTCACCTTGTATAAGCTTTTCACTTCAGCTTTGTCGATACGATCACTCGGTGAGTAATTTTATCTAACTTTGGTAATGAGTGAGTGAGTAGATGTAGTAGAGTAGAAATGTAAAATTGCATTTAAAAAACATTGCTGATTTGAAAGCAAAACACGTTTAGGCTTTATATGAAAATAAGGAAGAAGAAGGAGCAAAATTGAGAACAAGCCAATTTAATATACTTTTATAGTTCGGATAAACGAGTACATTAGTTACGTAATGTGACTGTATTAAGCATCCATGAATTAAAAGTAGATTGTTTACGATTATTGTAACCGAAAAATGCAATTGCTGACCCCACATCAAATGCCGCAACATTGCTCTAAAGCAAAGCTTACCAATTAAAAGGTAATGGTAACTGTTTGGTGATCTCTTCATGGTGTTATTCACTATAGCTTTCTCAGGTCCGGTCAGGCAATAAGAACAGAAAACTGTTAGTGAAAAAACCGCGACTCGTGAATCGATCTTCACCATTATTGCTCCATTATAACGCAAGACGCAAGACGCACACTGCACGAAAAACCGTTGTAACTGTACAGGAGCTGCAGTTAAAACCACGGTATCCACAGTACTCGCCAGACCTTGCTCCAACGGACTACCATTTTTATCGTGACATGGATAATTTTTTACTTGAAAAAAAAAACTTCCCAGGAGGCAGTACATAATGTTTTCACACTGTTTGTCGGATCTAGATACCCAGAGTTCTATCGTAAAGTTATGCATTTACGATAGAACTCTAGAAATCTAGATGACTTCCGTTTAAATGGCAGCTATTAATAGATAATGAGGGTAAATATTTTGATTAAATACATATGAGAAAATAACGGGATTCAACTTTTCAGTTGAAATCGGTAATTACATACTTTAACACATTTTTTTTTTCTCGGATACCACCCACTAGTGGGTGATTATGTCGGACTCGAACCGACCAAAAACCGCACGCCGTCTCCAGGTAATACTTTAACCCTCATATTTAAAATTCTATAACTAAAAGCTATAGAAAATATAGAATCTGTAGGTCAGAGAGCAAAGTTGGTTTTTGATTTATATTAACTAATTCAAAACGATGACAATCACTAGTAAAACGTAAGCGTAAGAGACCAAAACAAAATTACCCATCTCGGAATACTAACAAAACTTCTCTTTTATGTTTATAGTATATTGTTGTCTCTCCTTCGCAAGTTGGTGCACTACGATCATTTTTATCCAAATTGCAAGCAAATGGGAACTGTTAGTAAAAGAAATATTCGGTTGTAACCTGGACAAATACATTAATAAAGGCATAAGCTTTAGGAGCAACGTATTCTGCATATTATTTTTGATTTTAGCTTTAGGTAAGTTTATTTTTATTAAAGTTCTTGAAGCACGCGACCCCGTCTCTTCGAAGAAAACTTCCAGAAGCCTTTACCCTAGATCCCTTATCCATTAAATGATTTTCAGAAAGGGTCAGAAAGATGATGCTGATAATTTATATATAATATTTGACTTGTAACACAAACCTAAACAGTACTTTCAAAAGGTTCTTAAAGGTTCTTACCGCATACTCTTTAGTATGGAGTGTGCGTGGGACAAGTCGTCTAAGTTCCCTGTAAATTTGTCATAAGCCTCGTCTATAGTTTATTTATTTAAGGATCTCCAACAAAGGATGTATACAAAATATCAAAAATACATTTCACACGGGTATTTGTTATGTGTACTCCTTCAATTACAGGAGACCACAGCATGCTTATTTTCAACTAAGTAAATAATAATTTTATGATACAATAGAGCTTAGAAAAAAAAATTGCTTAGTAGTTACAATAAATTGACAGTGCAATAAAATTAAATTAAGAGAAAAAAAAAACACACAATAAATAACATTAAGCTTACAATTTTCCCAAACGCTTTTTAAATTTCGAGAAAGACTCACAGATGTCGATATTATGAGTCTTTGACAGAGTATTGTATTGCCTACAGAGCCTTGGCACAGCGGCGTAATGGCCAAGATTTGTTTTAGAGGTTGCAATGTCGTAAAAGCTATATACATATATTTCCGTTAATAATTCTATAGAGAAAGATTAAGTCTAATTTATCTCTTCGACTTGCTAATGTCTTCATATTATAATGTCCCAACCTTTCGGTGTAGCTAGTGAGTTCTTTTGCTAAGTTATCTCTGTAGCAAAGATGGTACGGGAATCGCTTTTGGATACTCTCCAATCGCTTGACGTACACTATTATTACACTTATTCTGATTATAATGGTCAAAAATAACATCGAACTCAGTACAAAATTTATATCAAAACGTTTTTTTTTTTTTTGAAATATTTATTTCGTAAGAAAATGAAATTAACTTCCGTTACATTGGCATGACTGACAATCTGAATATTATTTTGCAAAAAAAATAAAACAACTACCTGTTTAGTAGTTATAAATCACATGTATTTATTTTATTATATGTATCTAAATACACCACTAGCCTTGTTCTGCACATAGTAGGTTCCCTCTAGTACGTCATATACTCACTAAAGTACAACAAATAGATACTATGTGTAACTATCACTATCTTTTATATACTACTCTGATCTCCTCTTCTTGTCTTTTTCCTAACACACCAGCCATTACCCTATTTTTTTCGTGCGGAAATCTCCTCGGATACCACCTGTCGGTGGCATGTCGGACTCGAACCGACTAAAACCGCACGCCGTCTCGGGTACTAATAGCCGGGGAACCAAGTATACCCTATAAAGGAAGTCCCTGGTGCCCCGACATACCTCGGGTCATCTACAGACGAGTAGACCCCCCCCCCCCCCCCGTGTGGGAACCCCATGTTCCCTGTGCTCCCTGGAAGCGAGCGCGCTTCGCAACGCGCTCGCCGCCACCCCGGCCTGCTTCTACTATGTATATTTACATTACATTTATGTACAGATGTATATTTGTACCTGGTATATATTAAAGCGATATTAGAACATTATATTAAGAGAATAAGTAATAATAATAATAAATAATATTAATATTGTTATTATTATTATTTTACATGTCTTTATTTCAGTGGAACTAATATTTTTCTTCACATGGAAAGCATCGGAAGTACTTGAATGTTCTGTATTGGATTATCATACGTTTGAGAAAATCGTTGATAATATGTTCCCAGCGTTCTTTGAAATCGGTGTTCCTTACAATATACTGACCGCCACATTGTTACAGGTATACAAGTTTTTTTTCATACTTTTGATCCCTTTTTTCCTGTGCGGAAATCCCCTACGAAAATCACCCACCAGTGGGGTGATTACACTCCCTCTCTCTCTCTCTCTCTCACTCCCTCTCTAGTACTAGTAGCCGGGGAACCAAGTGTACCCTAGAAAGGAAATAACTACTACCCCGACGTACCTCGGATCATCCACGACGTATCTACACGTCCCACACAGGACATCTGTCCTGTGTGGGAACCTCTATGTTCCCTTTGTGCTCCCGAAAGCGCGCGTGCGCTCCGCAGCAAGCGCTTAGATCGGGAGCTCCTCCTGGAAGCCGCCAGCGTACAGGCCTAGGCCCCTGCCGAGAGAACCCTTCAGGTAGTAATAAAGCGTGTGCCAAGAGTGGGGCTCGTGGCAAGCTGCTGGAGACAATGCAGCGGGATTCGTGGGGATTCCCCTACTGTATGGTTAGGGGGCAAGATGCGCCCATGAGCCCCGCCGCTGACCCGGCGTCGTCAGCCAGAGCTGCTTGAGGGAATCGTCGGCTCCCTGTTCCCATCGCGAGTGGTGGAGCATACCACCACCACCGACACTTGAGACGCCTAACGTGGATGACAAAGACGAGCCTGAGGTCACTTCGGCAGAAGTAAGGGTGGCGGTGCTACGGCTTAAAGCCATGAACACCGCCTCGGGACCCAGGGCATTCCAGGCCGAGCGTGGGTCCTGGCCCTAGATGACGTGGATCTTGAGCCCCGAGTGAGAGGGCTCTTTAGCGCATGCCTCGAGCGGGTCCAGTTTTTTAATTGTGGAAGACGAAGAAACTGGTTCTTATCCGAAAGGAGGCTGCTTCCTATCACGTGGGGGTCACCACTATATAGCAACGGGTGTCATGTCCCTCCAACACCAAGTGAGGATCCTCCGACCAGGCGAGGTGATCATGCCCGGCGGGCAGCGGCCCGATGGTTGATCTTGGAAAGTTGTATATATGGTAATCGGCGAGAGAATACTTCATATCGCGACACAGGATGAGCACTTCTCATTCAGGAGTTACTAAGTAGTTCGGTGTGTCTTCGTTAGATGGCGCTGTAGTATGTGCATTGTGTAGTATGTATGTCAAGCACCTCTTCAGGGTGGGGCCGGATCTGGCGGACAACCAGTACGGCGCTCCACCGTGGATGCGATCATGCGCGTGTGATCTCTGGCGGAAAAAGCAGTTACCCGGGGCTAAGTAGTGTTGGCAGTGTCCCTGAATAATGCCAACGCGTTCAACACTTTGCCCTGGAGTTGCATCAGGGTGGCGCTAGTGCATCACCTTTGGTCCTCTATAAAATTAAGAAGCGATTCAACTGCCCTGTTGGTCTACTGGTTAGTAATCTTGACGACTACGCCGGATGTCGTGGGTTCGATTTGCACCAATTACAAATAATTTTGTGATGAACCCGGACATTTCGCACCTTTATTCATAAACTGAATTAACTTAGAATTTCAATATTGTGGGAAATCGCATTTAAAGTTTGACATTCATGTACGTGCTAGTTCGTCAAAAAGAGAACGACGATCTCTTATCTCTGCCATTTTCATGGTATCGAGTCGGCTGTTGGATTGTTCGTGTTCTACTGATGGAGTTGATTTGGTATTTGTTGAAAACTCGAAAAACGTAAATTTTGAATTAATTCAGTTTATTATTAAAGGTGCGATTTGTTTTGTGTTTGGGTTTAATTTAGGTGAATTATCTCTGGTGGTAAGCCGATATCAAATTATTTAATTTTAAATAGACTTTGCGTTTGCAGACTTTTTTATTGCATTTTGAAGCGCTCATCCCAATTATTGATTGGACCAAAGACCCTGTTGCATAGATAAACGTAGAATGGTCCGGATGTCTTAATAACAGCAGTACGCGGAAGGGCGCGATTATTATTTAGTCAGTCCGATTCCGACACACCAAAAAAATTGATGAAAGAATAAAAGGAGCTCAGTAAGCAAAACATAGTAAAAGTAATTCTCATTATGCTTGTGTCTGTCTATTACCGTACCTTCAAAAGTCTTTCTTAATTTGATATCCCTATTCATGTCCATCAATAGTTTTCACAATTGTTTCTACACTCTTTATAATACAATTAACACTTTTTTTTATTATTTTTTGTATGTATTTCCAGTTGAATTACATAATTACTGCAGCGAATTGGAACTTTTCGGATATATTTATCATTTGTATAAGTTTATACTTGACGTCGATATTGAACGAGATCAATAAGAAAATCCTGTGGGCTGCCGATGAGGTGTGTATTTACAAATGAATACATTAAGGATAATGTTACCATTGATAGATCTGAAACTTAAGTGATTCTTTCCAGTTAAGAAGATTTAGGACTATTGATAGGGTTCCCCAATGGATCCCTGAGTCACAATTATTAGCATTGAAAAGAATTACAACTAAATTACAAAAAAGAACCTCCTGCTCCATTGCCTAAATTATGTTTTTAGATGCCTACTTAACTTTATAACATATAAACATACAAATAAAAATGCATATATGTTCAGCACTGCATGCCTGAACTTATTTCGTGAAGTGCTGACTAAAAACCAACAACGAGTGCCTTTCTTCGCTATTAAGCTATTAAGGTCCTTAAATAACTTTAGTAATTTTTGTGTTTCCATCCTATTGTCATTCATCGCATAGAGGTCGTAAAAGCCGACGAAGGGAGCAAACTACGCAAGACAATAGCACTGCAAAGAGAAGGAAAACTTAAAACAAACACCTATACAACCCATCGGATCAGCGTGGTATAGTAAGTAGGTCCAAACCTCCTTTCTAAGGAGAAGCCTATGTCCAGCGGTGGACTATTAAAAGCTGTTGATGTGTAAGGAATTGGTGTATAATGACTACACTTTTGTCAAAGAAACAAATAGACCTGCACAGAATTTAAGTATGTAATCGTATTCCAGAATTTTCTATCTCCATCTATTTGGGGCACTCTTCGAGAGGACTACAACCGAGCAACTCGTCTCATCAGACGGTTTGACGACGTGTTCAGTGGTCTCGTACTTTTGTCTTTTGCTATCAATCTTTTCTGGATCTGTTTACAGATATTTAATATATTAGAGTAAGTCTAGCCCTGTGTTCTAATAATTATTTTATCTAAAGTAAACAAGTTATATCACAATTAAGAAACCTTATTTATATATTAAAGAGTAAAATATACCTACTATAATTACTTTTTAACTGGCATCCGAACTCGAATCCCTGTCTCTAAGTATTATGTACGAGTACGTTTATATAAACGTATGATTTCGATAAAAATTATAGTGTATTGGAAGCCGGAGCTTTATATCCAAAATTGCCAGCAGATCGTTATGTAGCTTAAAAGGGATTTTGATATGAATTTGCTTACAGTTAAATGGTGTTTTTTTTTTCCTCATTTCCTTCTTACTCTTTACCTTTTATTGATTATACTGATTTCAGGGTACATTTGACGAAAATAATAGTAGTATTATTTTCGTCAACTAGTAACCCTGTAGTAGTACAGGGTTACTAGTTAAGTCGACCTATATACTTTAAGGAGTTTTAGTTGCCATCATTTCTGATAGATTTCATTATGAAATGCCATATCCCAAACCTAACCATTTTCAAGATATTGAACTTTTTAGATTTTTTATAAAATTGGCGAAATTTTGCCTAAATATGAACTATCATTACAAGCCTATATATGGTTTATATCTGCTTAAATATAAGTATCTTCTGATAACTATATGTATTGTATTCTCTTGCAGAAACGGTATAAAGCCAAAACCTAAAAGTTTGGAAATGTGTCCTCATTATAGCAATCCGTAAGTAAACAAAGATGCTAGTATCTAAAGATAAATAATATAATATAGTTTACTAATAAAGCTTGTAATACTTCAAAAGTATACACCATTACATAATTTATGAACTTAATCAAAATATACCCAAAGTTTTTTTTATTTTATTAACTAATTGAGTAAGTAACCGCCACAATGTCTTAGGATGAATCCAAACTTGCTTTAAACCTAAAAAGCCTTTATATGATGCAGATACATTTTAAATAAATAAATATATATTACAGGCCCTTCCATGGTTACGAGCATTCAATTTTCACATTGTCATCCTTGACATTCTTGGTAGCGAGATTTACGACTATGTGTCTCTCAGCAGCTAGCGTGAACGTCGCCTCTTTGCTGCCGGCTTCGGTTCTTTATAAAGTCCCCTCCTGTTCTTATTCAATTGAGGTTTGTTTAGTATTTTACACATCTAAATTATTAAATTATCTTTTTATTTAGAATTAGGACCACGTCATTTTTTTTTGCCTATAACAAACGTAGGTATGTTTATTGTATATTGGTATCTTTAATAAACTTGGCCAAAATCGGGCAACGAAGATTAGTTTCGGGTGGAAGGAATCACAGACAACTTACTTTTTTGTTGTATTATATTATACTTTGATACTTATTCAAAGGAACCGAAATAATGAATTGGGATTTTTAAATATAAGTATAATTGAGAAATAAAGAGAGATAAATTAGTCAATACATACAGACACTCTGTTTAATACTTTGTTATCGTAATTCAAGTAAACGTGTGTTGTGACTTTTACGTCATTGTAGAACAGAAAGCTCAATTGGATATCTATTTTTAACAGGTTCAAAGGTTTTTGGACCAAGTACATGATGACGTAGTCGCCCTCACCGGGATGAAATACTTCCACATAACTAGAGAATTAGTTCTATCAGTAAGTATCCAACTGTTAATAAGAAATCTAATTGTAAACGCAATTTAAACATTAGTTTTTCTTAATGTAACTATTAAGTTCTCTTAATTTAAGTTTATTTAATATTTTTGTAAAGATATAGTGGCCAAACGAACAGATATATACCCTGATAGTACATGCCTATCCTTGCCTATGCATCTCAAGAGTTTCAAGCCTTTGAGGTGAAAATATACTCTGTTCTCGAAGGTTTAAAGGTCATATAGTTCCCGTATCGTAGCGACTATTATTCAAGGATTGTTACGTTACGTTACACTTTGTTTAGACTTTGTATTGTGCTCCAATCCACCTGTATAAACATTATCACATTCCTTTCATTGCCATTTCCTGCTGAACTATCTTACTTTCTTTCTATCTACTCCAAATTTTCTAATCTTTGACTACCAAAATGTCCGGTTGGTGGCAAAAGATTTGCCCAAATTACGTGAGTATATGAAGCATTGTAGTAGTAGTGCAAAATTAATAAGCCATTCCTAAAATACATGTATGTACGTACGTGAGAAAAAATATTGTACAACATTAATAAAAAACAAAATGTGACCGTTTTATTCATCTCTGTCAACCTTTTAATAAATCGATTATTAACGTAGTTGACTTAATTACAGTTCTTTACAAAATCTACAAGTACATCGCTTATCTTATATGGATGGATAAAGATTTACCAACCCAGGTTCATTTATTAACTGTTCTGTGTCACTGCGATGTCACGATGACATTTCACTACTCTTCCTAAGTATAGTATATTCCGTGTGGTGACGGAATAAGAATACGTAATGTCACCACCCCTATTCATCCCGTGGGTGTCGTAAGAGCCGACTAAGGGACCAAACTACGCAGGACAACAGCACTGCAAAGAGAAGGAAAACTTGAAACAAACCCTATACCAACCCGTCTGGCCAGCGTGGTATAGAAGGCCAAAACCTCCTTTCTAAGGAGAGGCCTATGTCCAGCAGTGGACTGTTATAGGCTGTTGATAAGATGATAAGTATTAGTATTTCATAATTTTTTATCTCTTTCTTGCAGATGGCAGGTACTATACTAACTTATGAGCTGGTGCTTCTGCAGTTAAGTGGTGAAGAACTTGACGATTCTTAATTATATTTAATAATCTTGCTTATTAAATACGGTCAGTGACTGATAGTCGATCCTGATCCCAAGCAAAGCAAATTTATTATCAAAACACAAAAAAAAGCGATTAAAATGCTAATATTAGTTCAATTTCATTGTATCTCGAGTTTGTTGCCTTGTGTAATAGCTATCACCAAATCATGATATTATTATTATTTAATTATAGTTTTCAAGATGTATTTAAAATTATTAAAAAATAAAAAAAATATAAATATGGTGGCACCATATTTATATTTTTTTAATATACTAATTGAACAAAAATTACATGACTTTTTTTGCTGTAAAATAACTTTAAATCATTTGAGATTTTCGATAGATGACTATCTAGGAGTTACAAAAGAATGATGATTAGTGTAAATGTTTCTAGGAATAATAATATATCTCATACATCTCACACACGGACGGTCAAAACTAAACAGGGCCTGTGCTATGATATAAATACCAGACTGCTGATAAATATATATAATAAATAAAATAAAAAGCCTTTTATTTCTTACATATTACAAAAAAAAAGCGTTAAATTCTATGCATTATAATTTTTTGTTAATAATTAAGTTTGGTAATTAAACTGAGTCTGAATCTACATGACGTGATTCTAAAGGTATTCTTTTAAAAGAATTTGAATTATATTTCTCATAAACTTCCAACTAGAACAAAGACGATCTCAAATCTTTATATTATATACAAACTGATAACGTCGAGGTCCTTATGTCCTTATCATATAATAAAACTAAAATAGGTCTTGTTAACAAAAAAGTAATTAAAAAGGGCTGTAAAATAAATAAGATATTTAAACGGATGATTAAACATTTAAACAAAGAAAAGGTCGAGAGAACTAAATCCAGGAATTCGCTTCATTGTTTTCAAGTTTTCTCTTGATTAAAAACTTGATACCAATTCACTGGAAAGTATTGGGCAATGCTTAGTTAACTGTAAATCGACTACATAATAGTTCTTCGTATTTTGCAGAGGCTTGTTATGACAATATTTTTATAAGGAAACTGAACAAATAGATCTGTAGCGTTATTATAGTACTAAAAATGGTGTTGGTCTCAGAACGTCAAGTCCAAGATATCAGTTTTAAGTTGAAAGTTTTTGTTTTACATGTTTAAATATCTTAATATAAATTGCCCATTTTACCAAGTACCATTCACGGCGGTACATTTTAATCGGAAAGAAAATTATATCACATCAACAGCCTTTAATAGTCCACTGCTGGACTTAGGCGTCTCCTTGGAAATAAGGTTTTGGCCTACTATACTACGCTGGCCAGTCGGGTTGGTATAGGGTTTGTTTCAAGTATTCCTTCTCTCTGCAGTGCTGTTGTCCTGCGTAGTTTGCTGCCTTAGTCGCCTCTTACAACACCCACGGGATAAATAGGGGTGGTGACACTCTGTATTCTTAATCCGTCACCACACGGATTATATAAAGACGGTTAAATAAGGCTATGACAGTTGTTATACGAATCAATGAAGTAAAATAAGATATTAAAAACGACCCAAATTTATCCGCCAGGCGATCTCCAGTACTAATAAATGGACATTAACCCGTCAGTGAGTGCTGATACAAACAGATTTACCATAAAGTTTCTTAGTTTTTTAGTTACAAACACTAAAACCTTCTTGCTTCTAAGCGAAAAAGTTTTCAACATTCTTCGAGTGTTCTAATTAAACTTTTTAAAAGAGAATTGCTTTTGTATATTTTTTGTGGATTGAAACTACTTTAAAAGTCATTTAATTAAATAAATAAAGTTTGCTTTTTTTCTATTGTTCTGTTCTTTTAAATTAAAAAAAAAGAAAATACACATTTTATAATAAGAGTGTGTGTCTTAAGAGCCGACTAAGGGAGCAAACTACGCAGGACAACAGCACTGCAAAGAGAAGGAAAACTTGACACAAACCTTAACCAACCTATCTGGCCAGCCTGGTATGGTAGGCAAAAACCTCCTGTCTTGAAAGAGGTGCTGCGAGAATTATTAAAGGCTGTTGATGATGATGATAACTCACCTTTATAAACTTATAAGTATTTCATTAAACTTTTTCACTGTGTTTATCATTTCATAGAAAACGTTGTGTTATTTTATTATTTTCTGTTCATCCATTTTTTTTGATATTAGAAGGTATAAGAAACATAACTTTTAAATAGTATTTTTTTTTTAAAAGCAATATATTTTAAAACGTCGATAAGTAAAGATAGCCTTTGCAAGATAGAATTTTGCGGTCAACTTGGTGACTGAAGTTATCTTCATTGTACTATGTTTTGAAAATTGAGTTTATTTAGGTCATGAAAATTCTATAGAAAATTTGATACCTTTTAAATTAGCATAGTGTCATCAAAGTAGACAAGAAAATCTCAAGTTAAACAAATAATTCCTTGTACTAGTTTACTAAACCCCCGAGATTATGCTACGTTCCTCACAAATCCAAAATACGTGACAAGCGATGATTTGTTGGTAGTAAAGTCTTAAATTGTAAATTAAAGTTTAAAGCCTTGTTGACACCAGACAATTTTTTATATTAAAATAGCTGAAAGAATTGTAACTGCTTTTTAATTTTCAACTCTCGCATTAGGAATATATCCTGTGTCGCGGGGGAATTTATAAATATACGTGAAACGAACACAAAAGACACCCAGACTCAGAACAACAATTCGTAGATCACACAAAGTGTTGTCCCATGTGGGGATTAAACCCAAAGCACTCAGCGCAGTAGAAAACAGCGTGGCGACCGCTTAAACCACTACGCCATTCGTGCAGTCATTAAAGTGGGTTACTAAATAAACCAAGTAAAAACATTGCCAATGTTAAGCAAGGCAAAAAATACTTGTTAAAATAAATAAGGTAAAGACAACCACAAAAAAAATGATATTGGAACAAAGTTTGATTGCCATGTGTCATACCCATATCCAATATGCTAATTGGCGTAGAGAATACAAACAATCTTATTTTGGTGAAACAAAACAGATCATAAATTGGACTGATTCATATTTGTTTACATCATTATAAAATAATAGCATTAAACATACAAATGGGGCAATATTAACGAAATTACATACCCACAATGTTACTTTATTAAGTTAAGCGAAAGATACTTCATTTTTTCACTAGTTGTTCACTGATATTCGCACGATTTACTGCATTTGCTAATATCGTTATTAAACTATAATCATATATATAACTATAATCAACATCACTTTGGGTTGCTATGTAGTTTCTTTTTAGTTTACAAACTGCATACAAAATTATTTACAAGTTTTGAAGTCTAATATATACTTGAGATTGACAAATTACTGCACTGTTAAGAATATTTTGCCATTTCGTGACTGAAGTTTATAAGATTTAAGATTACTAGATATTGTGATATAATTTGCTAAGAATAAGCAACTGGGTTTGAATTTATAAGAGATAGAGAAGAAATGCTTTACTCGTATAACAGTTAACTTTTGCTTTAATTTATCATTCATTCCGATTTTGCAGTTTCTCGTAATTTATTATCAATATTTTGTCTTAAGATGCAAGTTTGTGGCTATACTATACCACAATTTTTTAACCAGAAACTTATGCGTATATAAATAAACCAAAACCTTATACCTTATAAAATATGGATTCAGATCGAAGTTTTCCCCGTTTTTTTTTTTTTTTTCCGTGCGGAAATCCCCTCGGATACCACCTATCGGTGGCATGTCGGACTCGAACCGACTAAAACCGCACGCCGTCTCCAGGTATACCCTAGAAAGGAAGTCCCTGGTGCCCCGACATACCTCGGGTCATCTACAGACGAGTAGACGACCCCCCCCCCCGTGTGGGAACCCCATGTTCCCTGTTCTCCCTGGAAGCGAGCGAGCTTCGCAACGCGCTCGCCGCCACCCCGGCCTGCTTCTGCTAGGGTGACAGATGGCCTCACCTGTCACCCCCAGGCTTGCGCTTATAGAGGACGGAGGTCGTTCTGCGACCTCCGGCGCCTGAGTCGCCTGCGGTACCTGGCCCGTTCCCGGGCCTGGCGGGCCGGGAGAGTCCTAAACCTCTCCCGGTCCCGCCCCGCCGTCTCCTTCGCGAGCATAACTTGCTCGCAGAAGGAGACGGCAGAGTTCCACGCACTCTCGCTCCGCACGATAGCCGCAATCAGGCTATCGAGCGAGAGAACTCCCACTCCGATGGCCGCCACGAGGTCTCGCCTCTGCTCAACCCACGCCGGGCACTTTACCAGCGTGTGGAGAGCCGTGTCCACGGTCTGACCATCGCAGTGGTGGCACTCAGGCGTTGGCTCCTTGCGGATCAGACACAGGTGATCCCCGAAACATCCTTTCCCAGTGATCACCTGCGTCAGTCGGTATGAGAGGGTCCCGTGACGCCTCTCGATCGATCCTCCATAACAGGTCTTACCGCCGCGATGACGGCGTGCCCGGCGCTCGGTTGCCCGAGTCGTTCCTTCCACTCCCCTATGATGACGTGGCGGAGTTGCGATTTCCGGTCATCGATTTCTCGAGTCTCGGGACACCGACCCAACTCCCGCGCCTCCTTGCGCCACTTATACAGAGCCGCAAGGGCTCTCGCCTCCAGGTCCCACGGTGGAGTTCCGGCCAGGAGACTTGCCGCCTCAAAGGAGATCGTGCGGTACCCCCTTATGATCCTGATGGCCAGCACTCGCTGCGGTCGTTGCAGTATATCACAGTATATATATGTATATAAGTTCTTGTATCTGATAGCCCGATTATTGAGGCAATAACAGGCTATTTAATGTTAAGATGCGACAGTTAAAAGCCCACCAGTAACCAAAATTTATATTAAATAAAACAGTGTTTCATTATGAAGAATAAAAAACACTAGTGAGACAAATTATTTGCTCGTTACAGATCGTCACATACACTTGATATGTATCGGTCACGCTTGAAATGTATCGATCCCCAATTAGTTGAACATGCATTAATGAGACAATTTTTTTTCTGCTTAACGAATATTTTGACATAAT